GTAAATACCCTTTATGATCGGTTAAACTCCGACAACAATTACTACTAACAAACTTTTTAGTTTAACACAACAGGACACAACATGATGGGCTTAATAGAGTAACTCATGTCTTCTCATTTTCAGGATAAGGGTAGCTCTAACCACAAAAATTAAAAATCAAATAATATTCACATGTTGGTTTCTATTCGAAATAGCAACAAATGACGGAGGGATCATATTTGAATAAAAATAAAAATATTAGATTTAAATTGTTAAAATTTAAATTATGGAAACTAAAGTAAAATTTTGAAAAAATTATAAAGACAACAGTGTAAATTACCCTCTTATTTTTTATGAAAGATAAAACCCTTCCAAGTTGCTCTGTTTGATTTTGAGTTTTTGAATTTTGAGTTTTTCATATTTTGTTGTCTTTAATTAAAAAAAAAATTCATATTTTAGACAAAAAATTTATTTTTTGTATATGCACTTAATCTAAATATACTAAAAAATTAAAATATATTTTTGAAGAAATTTAAAAAGAAATCAACAAATACAAAAATTATATATATATACTAAATTTTTTTTTTTGTATTTAGTAAAAATTTACAAATTTTATATTTTCTAAGTCTATTTAGATTAGTGAATTTATTTTAAAATAATAATAATTAAAATATTAGAAATTTAAAAATATTAATTGAACTTTCAAAAGCTGCAATAGGCTGATTGATTTGATAAAAAAGCAAAATCAAAGTCTTCTTATTCACCCATAAAAAGAGTCAAAGTCTTCTTGACCTTGGAATCCAATTGGATATGGATGGATATTTGTCAGTCTTGTTTTGTTTTGTTTTTTTTTTTTTTTTCTTCAACATTTTGGGAAGTTTGATTTGGTAATAAAATTAATGTATGAAAATGTTTCACTTTTTTTTTTTTGATAACTCTGAGTGTCCGGATCAGCTTGCACGCATCTCGACTAATTACTGGGTGATCAATCCCACCTATATATATATATATATTTTTTAAATATTTATCAAAATTCATAATACAAACATAGGGTTGTTTGAGGTATCCTAAATAAGTCTACTTTAATTTTTTGGACTAAAAAGTTGAGGAAAAAAAATGGTTGTTTGTGTTAATTTTTTGACTTTTTACAAAACAATGTGTATTAAAAAATTATATAAATTAGTGTACAGGAGAATATAAGGACAGTAGGCAGGAGGCCGTACCATCTGGGTGAGTGAATTGATGATAAGAAATGGTTGCCTACTTTTCGGGCATTGCATTGGACGGTACTGTTCGGTCCGTGGGGGCCATCATGAGTCCTGTTTTGATAATCTAAACCGTTTAATGTGTAGAACTTGTCAAGTACTATACGTTTGAAAAAAATCACGTTAATCGGATATCAATAGCTATCTGATTGGATTAGTTTTTTTTTCAACCGTTAACTATAACACCATCCATTTTTTATACAAAACGGATTTAATCATGTAGTTAGCGATATCTGATCAACGTGATTTCTCATAGACATATAGTACTCGATGAGTTTTACATATTGAACGGTTGAGATTATCAAAACGGGGCCCATGATGAGCCCCCACGGGCCAAACAACACTGTGTTATTTGTGAATCCCGCCTGAGCAATTTTTTCAAATTATTTCAGCAACTCAGCAACAGTCTATGGGACGGTTCAGACTGTGTTGTAATAATTTGTTTCTAAATTTTGTTTTTTTGAGTGAATAGTGATAACTTTTATGGTGACAACTTTTTAATTTTTTTGATAAGTTTTTGACTTTTTGAATTTTTTTTTTGATATCTCAAAGCAGCCCATAGTTTAAAGGATTTGTCAAACTGAAGCTAATAGGTACCCCAAGTGACAATCTGGTGCAACCTATCTACAAAATAATTTCCAGGCGATGAAAACCAGCAAGACCACTTTCCATCTCAATACAGTGGAATGAAGTTGAATGTGAAGTTCATGAATTTAGACCAAAAAATGGTGAGGACAAATTTGCATGAAGAAAAAAACAAAAGAAAAGGAGAAATCATAATATATATATATATATATATATCTGAGGATTTGATCATTGTGAAAAAATAAACTATAAAATTTTTAATTTTATCAATTTAAATCATAATTTTTTTAAATTTATTTTCAGTATAAGTTATGCGCCTATTTTCATTAAGTAAAATTGATGAAAGAAAATATATTTTAGTTATTAAATTTAATGTAGGTATACATAACATATCTAAAATACTATTTTAATTGAGTTTAATAACTAAATTTTTATTTATTTTTCATTAGTTTTTACTTAACATAAATAAATAAATGGTTTAGATTGAAAACAAATTAAAAATAATTGACAAAATTAAAAATTTGTAAGTTTTTTTTTTTTTACACCTAAAATATATCAGTCCTGCTACGTAGCTTCAATTTTTTGTGGCTTGAGTGGCCCGAAATCCAAAAACGACGTCGTTTTGGCTTTTTTTCTTTTTCTTTTTTTTTTTCTTTTCTTCTTCTTCTTTTCCATAACTCGAAGAAGAAGGAGAAAGAAGAGAAGAGAAGAGACAGAGAGAGAGAAAGAGAGAATTATCATCATCAACCAAAAAATCAAACCCACCAAACACATCATCATCAACACAACACAGAGAGAGAGAGAATCATAATCATCAACCAAAAATCAAACCCAGCCAACACATAGAGACAAAGATACAGAGAACGAGAGAGAGAGAGAGAGAGAGAGGGAGATACAGAGAGAGAAAGAGATAGATACACAGAGAGAGAGAGAGAGAGATCTTTGGTTCCCACTTCTTTGAGTTGTTTCGTAGAACTGAGAAATTTCACAGTTTTTACAAAATTGACAAGTTTGTCAACTTTTATAAAATTTCACAGTTATGTACAAAAATATGAAAAATTTTGAATTTTTTATTTGCAAAAAGGTTTTAGAAAGAAAGTTCAAGACAAGATAAAAGTGAAAAATATATAAATTTTTTTCCTTTTCCTATGTCTTTTCAATTCTCTTCACAAATCACTTCTCCAATCCAAGATCTCGGCATAACCTAAACGATTCATGTTTGTTGCAAATGTTGCTTCAACAACAAAAAGGCGTTGTGTGGAACACACAAAATGGGAATAAAAATAAATAAATTTGTAACAGTTTTCTACAACCCTAATTTGCCAAAGAAATTAAGGTTGTCCAAGTAGTTTTGGCCGAACATCCTTAGGTCATGACCAATTTGTTTAATGTTAGGTTTTTGTAATTGGCTATTCCGTTTGACAAAATTCCTTTCAGTTGTAATTTTATTCGCTCTTATGTTTTAGTGAGGATGTGAGTGTTTAGATGCGAATCCAACCCAAGTTGTGCCTATGCAAAGGAGTTTGTGAACTTGAGGCTTTCATGTTTGCCACTTCACTTGAGTGGTCATTTGTGCGCTCGGGTGGTGAATGGCATTGTACAAGCACGAAATAATCTTTCTCGTATAATCATGTTGATCAAGTTTGCGCTTCTCCAAACATCATCGTCTAATCACCTAAAAACACAAACGTGAGCTAACTGGTTGATGTATGCCGAAAACCCCTCTGATGCATAAGTTAGCAAATAGACTATAGACACTAAAGCTCTGTGAATTCGGGAGTATGAATTGCAATACTTCAGAATAGGATCTGTCACGAGCTTTTACAGATTACATGTGGCTTTTAGAAGTCACATGCCCAAGGATAATGTTTATCCTTAGAGCACTCTCCTTACTGCTAGCCAAGTGAGATGACAAGCACATTATGTTCGGCTATAAATGTTTGATTGAGCTACCTTACCTCAGCCCACTACTGACTGAATCGTGCAATCTCCGACCTTTAATGCGTTCTATCGAGCTAAGAGTAGCTCGACCTCCTTCACTCAACCAATCAACTGCTAGCTAGCTCAAAGTCCATTGATCAGCCTAACCTTCATTTCGCTCAGGACCAGGCTATCTGAGCTCTTTCTTGGCCCATTGCGCGGCCCAACTTTCAAAGATGATGTTACCTAGCTCGGCCCAAGTTGATCACACAAATTACCCTCTCAGGCATCATCCAATATTTTTGCAGAATAGACTAAACTTCTGAGAGAATCCTTTATGCGCTCGAGTAGTGGAGTCTTGGCTTAAGCGATGGGCAAGTGTTTTAGTGAGTTCGCTCGAGCGATTGAGTGATCACTTGAGCGGTCTTCGTAACCTTGTTTTCTATAAAGTGCGTCGTTCACTATTTTTAGGGTTTAAACCATCCAAAATCTTAGAGAGAAAGAAAAGACAAAGCATTTTCTATTGGAGGCTGTTTTATATGAGCTTCCTTGGTGTATGGAAGGTAATCGATTGATCAATAAACTATAGATTGTCAAACATCAAGAGTTGTTCTTATTATTTTGTTCACAAAAGAGAAGTGTTCTTTGGTGGATTCCGCAGAACTTGAGCCTGACGCTTTGATAGATTCTGGAGTGGCTCATCATTATGGATTTGACATCAGGATTGTGGATTCAACGTTGGACAAAACAATTCCGAGGTAAAGACGGTGGTAGAAGAGATACATCGGGTTTGGTTTAATTTGAGGTGGATTCACTAAGTAATTGAGAATACTCTTGTGTAATTTATTTTTGTCTTCTTAGTGGATAGTTTTATGACTTTAGCTTGCGAATTTTTTTATCAAAATTGGAGGAGTTCTAATTGCGGTTTTTTTCACGTTAAATCATTGTGTCGATTTGTCTTTGATTATTTGATTGGGATTGTTTATACTGTTTAAAATTGATACATAATCACAAATCAATATATCGGGATTTTTAGATTTTTTTAGTTAAGACCCAATGATATTGTCCAAAGTCTTTTACCTTTTGTTCCAAAGACCAATGGTAGCCTTAGCACACTTAAGCTCTTCCTCTTTGTTGATGACTTGCTCATCCAAATCGACTTGAGACATTTCAAGAGATTTAACCTTTTCTACGTACAACTCTTGTGCTTTCAATAACTCATTCCTCTCAGTTTCACAAGCCAAGAGTTTATCACAAAGAGCCACCATTAAATGGTGAAATGTCATGGTTTGTCATGCGATCATAAACTATTGAATTGCTCATACTAGTTTCACCGCCATAAGCATCTAAGAGTTGATCTCCAAGCAAGTGTTGGGTCTCTTCGGAATCTGTGACGTCATTTACCCATGGATGTTTCTCTGTCATTCTCAATCCCTCTAGCTCCATTACTACTTCCTTCATGCTTGGCCTTTCGTCGCCTTTCACTTCTAAGCATCTCTTTGCTAAAATAGCAACTTGCTTTAACTTGTCAACCCTTGCGTCATTCATCATCTGCTCATCAACAATTTCAAGCAAGCGGTCTTCTTTCATTGCTAAAATAAAATACATCGATAAATTTCTCTCTGCTTCAGGCCTGCTGAAAGAAATTACCTTCTTGCCAGTTAGTAATTCAACAAGGACAACCCCAAAGCTATAAACATCACTTTTTTCGGTCAATTGGCCAGTTTGCAAGTACTCTGGGTCCAAGTAACCACGTGTTCCTTGTACCAATGTGCTTAATTGAGTTTCATCAATAGCAATCAGCCTTGAAGAGCCAAAATCTGATACTTTAGCAACGTAATTGTCATCTAAGAGTATGTTGGAGGTCGTAACATCTCTATGAATGATAGGAGTACTAGCGGCAGAGTGTAAATATGAAAGGGCTGTTGAAGTTTCCGCTACTATTCTTAAGCAATTCTCCCATGTTATTGAGGATGCTCTTTGGCATGCAGTGTGTATGTGGTCATAGAGAGTCCCATTGGTAATAAATTCATGGACAAGGAAAGGAACTTTTGTCTCCAAACAACACCCTAGGAGCTTTACAACATTTCTATGGTTGACTTGAGAGAGAATTATGACCTCATTAATGAATTGCTCAATCTGGGACTGACTCTGATCAGCTACTCTGGGCTTCTTAATGGCAACTATGGTGTTATCTGGTAATACTCCTTTGTAGACTATTCCTTGGCCCCCTTTGCCCAGGACATTATTTTCATTAAAGTTGTTTGTTGCCTTCTTTGGATCCTCTTCAGTAAAGATTTTAGCTGACTGGACCAATCCTTCATGTTTGGAAAGTTCTTGTAACATGATACCACCGTTTTGCTGAAATAATTTTTCTCTAAGGTTGGCAATCTTCCTCTGCTTAGATCCCCAATATAGCGAGGAGCCACCAATAAGTAGTAGTGATATGCCGATGCTAATGCCTGTAGGGATTCAAATGGAAATGTCAATACCCAGAATTTGTTTATGATCAAACAGAAAAAGTAGAAACCCGGAAGATGAAGTGTATAGCATGCACCACACCTAGTATGAATCTAGTCTAACACATTTCATTTTCTGGATCAATTTCAGCCATATTTTGACAACTCTTTCGTTATTTTATTCATCTTTGACTTACCAAACACAACCAAGACAAGAATATGGAAAATAAGACGAGAGAATTGAATTGGTTGTTTAGCTTTCTATGTAAACGTTAGGTTGCTGAAAGAAAGATGCAAGGAAACTGGAGATATATCATCTTCCAATTGTTTTTGATCAGTGCATCAATAATTGGGGACTGTAAACTCTAAACTAGAGATAGAGTCAAAATCAAAAGCATTGATCGGTTGAATTTTGATAGAAAATTTAATATGTAGACAATTTTATGATGAATAGCATGTGTGGGTGTACGTGTACCTGCCTAAGGAAATATAAATAATCAAGGGAAGTTTGTTGGGAACAGTAATTCGACTGCAACCTGATCCATTTTTTTTGCCATCACCTTCGTAGCCCACTGCACAAGAACAATTGTATGTGCCTGGTAAATTGAGGCATGCCATGTTACATGGGCTTGAAATAGCGCACTCATCAATATCTGAAACAAAGAACAAGCAAGTTTGATCATTGATGTTATATTCAATAGCTTTGGTATACATAACTTTTTTTTCCTGGAGTCTCATTAGTTGAATATATGTATATATATATATATATCATAGCATCAATAACATTAGGAAGAAAATGTAAAGTTTTTAACAGTAGTTGTGGTTACCTTGACAACCATTAGGAATATAAGGGTTCCCTTCATATCCCTTAGAGCATTTGCAGCGATACCCGGGACCATTGTCAAAGTCTTCGCAGTCGTTGTTATCCTTGCAAGCAAAACTTATTAGATTCTTTCCGGCAGCATGATCATCACATGTTTGGTCTCCTACCGCCCAATCAAATACCACCGGAACCCTTCTTCTTCCCTGTAAGTCAGCAAGATCTATAGAAGAGAAGTTATAAGTAGTTTCCTCAGCCACAAAAGCATAGCTGCAAGGATTGAAGTCCCATACACGGGTATGGTTCTCAAAGCTTTTGACTCTGAACTGGAAATTCCTCACTCCATTAGGGATGTTGGCATGAGTTGTAAAATGAGAGTGACTGTGGCATGAGTTGTAAAGCAAGAGTGCATGTGGCATGAATTGTAAAGCAAGAGTGCATGTGGCATGAGTTGCAAAGAAAAGTGATTGCAGGGATTGTCTAGAATAAACTCTGTATGATAGTCTATATATATGGACTTGTATTTCATAGAAAAAATGAATAAGAGCTATACAGTTGTTCCATGTCTCTACATGGTATCAAAGCAGAGATCCTAGGCTTTCTGTTTCACACTTTACACCTTCACCAGACCTAGCCGACTATGGCAACTCCATCCACGGACCAAACATCCATTACCAACCCAACCCTAGAAGACCTAACATCCAGAATGACAGATTTACTGTCCCAGACCCTGACTCAGAACCAGACACCAACCCATGAAATTTCCGCTGCACCGATCGGCATCAAGTTGGATGGCACCAACTATGCTCTGTGGTCCCAAGTTTTGGAGATGTATATCTCCGGCAAGGATAAACTTGGATACATCAATGGAGATCTCCAGCAGCCCCAACAAACTGACCCAACATGGCGAAAATGGCGGACTGAAAATTCGATTGTGAAAGGGTGGTTAATTAAATCCATGGAACCAAGCATGATTGGTAATTTCATTCGATTCCCAACGGCAAAAGTAGTGTGGGATGCCATTGCCACAACTTTTTTTGACGGCACAGACACATCGCAGGTTTATGATCTCAAGAAACGGGTGACCAAGATGCGACAGGGCGGTGGGCAAATTAAAACCTACTACAATGGCCTTCAGGCCTTATGGAGGGAGATTGATTTCCGACGCCCCAATCCGATGGTCTGTCCCAATGATATTCAGAAATTTACTTCCATTCTACAAGAGGATCGAGTGTATACCTTTCTTGATGGCTTACACGATCGGTTTGACAAGGTTCGTAGCGACGTACTCCTCATGAACCCGTTCCCCTCAGTCGAACAGGCATATGCCTATGTTCGCCGTGAAGATTCACAACAGTCCGTGATGATGGTCAGCACAGATGGACAGGTTGGCGCTGCTATGGCATCTCGAGGAGGAACCCGCTCCAATCCGCAGCCTCTGAAACAGCAGCTATCGATGGTCCTAACTGGGAAATCTGCAGCTGGAACTCGGTCCGGTGCAGCGCTACCCGAATCTGGTTTGTCTTCTTCCAGCCGTAGCTCTGGGCATCCATCTACTGAAGGTCATGGATGTACTTATTGTGGCAAGAACAAACACACCCGTGAGACTTGTTTTAAATTACATGGGTTTCCAGAATGGTGGGACGAGTTCAAAGCCCGGAAACAAAGTGAAAGTGCTGTCAACAGTGATTCAGGACGGGCTGCTTTAGCACATGCGGATCCCGAGTTGTCTCTTATAATGTCCACAAGTACTTCTCATCTCCTAGATGGCTCTACCCCTTTCAGTGCTTCAGGTAACTGTGGTTACTCTTTATTTAATTCCACTCCGGATGCCTTTAATGGTTGGATACTTGATTCGGGAGCCACCGATCATATGACGTTTGATCCCAATGACTTTACTTCTATTACTCAACCAAAATGGGTAAATATTGCTAATGCCAATGGGGTCACTTATCCGGTTACAGGAGCCGGCACTGTTTCTCCCTCTTTCTCACTCTCATTGTCAAACACTTTACTTGTTCCATCCCTATCAAGTAAATTAATATCTGTGGGACAAGCTACTGAAGAATTCAATTGTTGTGCACTAATATATCCCAAGTTTTGTTTTCTTCAGAATATTCTCACCAAGGAGATCATTGGTCGTGGTACTAAGAGGGGGGGGCTATATGTTATGGATGATTTCAGTCCCGGCCAAGCTCATCATGTACAACAAGTGCCCAATGTGAAACGTCAACAGATTTGGCTTTGGCATCGTCGCTTGGGGCATCCATCCTTTAGCTACTTAAAGCATTTGTTACCCGATTTATTTTCTACCATTAGTGAGTCTGGTTTTAAATGTGACACTTGCATTTTGGCCAAGAGTCACCGTGTGCCTTATCCTTTGAGTTTGAATAAAAGTAATGTTCCATTTACTTTGGTACACTCCGATGTTTGGGGACCTTCTCCAGTTTTAACTCCTTCCGGGATTCGTTGGTTTGTGACCTTTGTGGATGACTGTACTCGCATGACTTGGGTTTATTTGTTGAAACGTAAGAGTGACGTATTTTCTCTTTTCCAGTCCTTCCATGCCATGATTCAGACTCAATTCTCTGCCAAGCTTCAGATTCTCCGCTCCGATAATGGTGGCGAATATATGAATGATGCATTCAAGAGTTATTTTAACACCCGTGGTCTCATTCATGAGACCAGTTGCTCTGCCACTCCTCAACAGAATGGTGTGGCGGAACAGAAAAACCGACATATCTTGGAGACTGCTCGGGCCCTTTTGATTGGTGCCCATGCCCCTCGTAGTTATTGGGCCGATGCCATTGTTACAGCCTTTCAGACACCGCTTCAGGCTCTCTCATGCCATGGCTCTTTACCCTCTGTCCTGATGCTCCCACCTCGGATATTTGGGTGTGTTGCTTTTGTACATCTCCCGAAACCTCAACGTACTAAGCTTGATCCTTGTGCTCTGCGTTGTTTTTTTCTGGGCTATGCGACGCATCAGAAAGGGTATCGATGTTATCATCCCCCCACCCGACGTACTTATGTTACCATGGATGTCACATTTCTCGAGTCTGAGTTCTTTTTCCCTAACCCCATGACCGATTCTCCTCTTCAGGGGGAGATACGACATAATGAAGAGCAGAATTAGGCTGTTTTCGATTTCCTAACAATGGGGATAGAAGTAGCTTCTCTCGAGCCTACCGTAGCTTCTACCACTACTACAGCCACCGCTCCTACTGATGTATCAAAAAGGACTGCTAACCCTGGAATGGAAATCATAACTACACCATCTTGTATGGCTGACCGTAGAGAAGAACCTGGTAGAAGTCTCGACGATGAAGACCCTCATCAACCTCTAATACCCGAGACTGATCAATCTCTTGAGAATATTCGTAAGGTAACTACTCCTCCTCCTGATAATGCTTGTGATACTTCTGTTGGTTATCAATTACCTTTCAGGCATAACCGTGGAAAACCACCAGACCGATACTCTCCAGATCATGTGAGTAAGAAATCCATATATCCGATTGCCAATCATGTCTCATCTCAGAGGTTATCAGATTCACTCAAAACATTTGTACACCAGTTGTCTGTTGATCATATTCCTAACCAAGTACCCGAAGCCTTGAGTGATCTGAAATGGATGCATGCTATACAAGAGGAAATGGCGGCTCTTCAAAAAAATCAGACATGGACACTTATTCCTCTGCCGAAAGGGAAGAAGACTGTCGGATGCAAATGGGTCTTTTCTATCAAACACAAGGCTGACGAATCTATTGAGAGGTATAAGGCAAGACTTGTGGCGAAGGGGTACACACAGACTTATGGCATTGATTATCATGAGACGTTCTCTCCAGTGGCGAAGCTGAACACAGTCAGGGTATTATTGTCTCTTATAGCTAATCTAGATTGGCCACTGCATCAGTTTGACGTACGGAATGCCTTCCTTCATGGTGATCTCAAGGAGGAAGTATATATGGATGTTCCGCCTGGATTTTCATCTTCTCAAAATGGAGTCGTATGTAAACTGAATAAGGCACTATACAGCTTGAAGCAATCTCCCCGTGCATGGTTTGGACGGTTTAGCATGGCTATGCGACAATGTGGTTTCAAGTAGAGCAATTCAGATCATACACTATTCCTGAAACACTATAAGGGAAAGATAACAGCATTGATTATTTATGTTGATGATATGATAATTACTGGAGATGACGTTGGGGGGATTTCTAAACTCCAAGAATATTTGGCGACCGAATTTGAAATGAAAAATTTGGGTGGGTTGAAGTACTTTTTGGGAATTGAGGTGGCTCAGTCAAAGCAGGGCATCTTTCTATCCCAAAGAAAGTATGTGTTGGATTTACTTGCAGAAACTGGAATGCTTGATTGTAAGGCTGAGGACACTCCAATTGTTCAGAATCATCACCTAGGAGAGTATTCTGATCAGCTACCTGCGAATAAAGAGAGGTATCAAAGGATAGTTCGAAGACTAATCTATTTGGCACATACTCGACTGGATATCGCATATGCTGTGAGCGTTGTAAGTCAATTCATGCACTGTCCTAGTAAAGATCATATGAATGCAGTTGTTCGAATACTTCGATACTTGAAATCAGTCCCGGGGAAAGGACTTATGTTCTCTAAGAATAATCATCTAAATATTGGTGGTTACACAGATGCAGATTGGGCAGGCAACAATACTGACAGAAGATCTTCTTCGAGATATTTCACCTTTGTAGGAGGAAACCTTGTTACTGGGAGGAGTAAGAAACAAAAGGTCGTGGCTCTTTCTAGTGCAGAAGCTGAGTTCAGAGCGATGAATAAGGGACTTTGCAAACTCCTTTAGTTAAGGAAGTTACTTACAGAATTTGGTTTCCCACCTGCTTCAGCAATGGAGTTATTTTGTGATAACAAAGCAGCCATTAGTATTGGTCACAATCCGGTCCAACATGATCGTACAAAGCATGTTGAAGTGGATCGACATTTCATCAAGGAAAAGCTCGAGACTGGGATAGTTTAGTTTTCGTTTGTTAAATCAGAAGATCAACTGGCAGACATGCTAACTAAAGGCATGTCAAGTAAAATGTTCTACAACTCACTCGACAAGTTGGGCATTGGCGACATCTTTGCACCAACTTGAGGGGGAGTGTTGGCATGAGTTGTAAAATGAGAGTGAGTGTGGCATGAGTTGTAAGCCAAGAGTGCATGTGGCATAAATTGTAAAGCAAGAGTGCATGTGGCATGAGTTGTAAAGAAAAGTGATTGCAGGGATTGTCTAGAATAAACTCTGTATGATAGTCTATATATATAGACTTGTATTTCATAGAAAAAATGAATAAGAGCTATACAGTTGTTCCATGTCTCTATAGGGGATACTTTTCTGGCAGCAGCCAATGCCAGAGCAAGAGCCGTTGATCACATTGTTGATGCTGTC